CACACACACACACACACACACACACACAGAGTCACAAACACACACACTACGCCCACACCGCTCGAGGGCTGGGAGGTCACTCTTCACCTTCATTAGTTTTAGTTTAGCTTTAGTAAGTGTTTTACGGCAACTGCAGCACAATAACGTCATATAAGTGCCGAAGATTAGAGGTGTTACAAGCTAGTAACAAACATAAAAAGAAGGAGAGATAAGGACGATAGATGCATGATAGGAAAGAAGAAGCAAACCACACCAGAGCACCCGCCAACAACCCACTATTAGTTTTAGAAAAGTTTTACCGCGCTCGCAACTGCATAGTAAGGTCGTATGAGCGCCAAGGGGTGGAAGTCAACAGAGAAGTCTAAACGGGAAATCAGGCTTACTCTGCTCACCTCTCTAGCCTCAACAGCACAAAGTCTGCTTCGTCGACTATAAAGGCACCCCGGAAGTAACGGGTCACAAGAGTGTGACAAACATACATATAAGAAGTAGAGGAAAATGACGATAATAAGGATGAGGAAAGAAAAAGCAGCAAAAGCCCCTATGTTGTTCCGGCACAGTTTATGAGCACGACATTATATTGATGAATCAGCTCATTTACAATTCTACTGTGCAAAAGAACATGGTTAATTCCCCCCTTTTGGGAATGGCCTACAGACACTTCAGTCAGTTGCACTACCCTGGTGGGAGATCCCAGGGTCTTGTACACCTATAACAACACCTATAACAACACCTATAACACTATCAAAAGCAGGCCAGGTTATGAAAAGTTTCCCCCAACAACTGCCTGGCCTGGGGGCCCGTGCTGACCAGTGTCCACCCGTGCTGAGTAGCGGCAGTGACCAGTGGTCACGTGACAGTGGAGGTGGGGGATCACGACATCTCTGACATCATCAGCCAGGCCGGGGTGAGGGGTCAGAGGGCGATCGGCCGGACCCCGGGCCGTTATCTGTGCCCTCATCTTGTCGGACAACACTTTAGGGGATGGGGACACAGGGTCGGCTTGTGCAACGATACCGCAGGGGAGAGAAAGAGAGAAAGAGGGGGGGGAGAGAGGGAGAGAGAGAGAGAGAGAGAGAGAGA